CCGCCGCCTCCGCCTCGCCCGCGCGCCGCCCAGGTGGCGGGAGCGCGCGCCGGCCCAGGTGACTCCGGGGCCGCCCCGCCTCCCAGGCGGGAGAGACCATTTCCGAGGCCGGGGGGTGGGGATGGGGGGAAGAAGGCGGGGCCGGCGGCCACACCGGAAGAGGAAGTCGACCGTGGCCAACGCCAGAAGCTAGCATTGTGGGTAATTTGGTGTTTATTTACCGAGAGTGAGAAGCAGCTCGGGGGAGTTCTGGCTGGTTGTCTTGCGTGCCTGAGACGATGGCCTTGGAGACGGTGCCAAAGGATCTGCGGCATCTGCGAGCTTGTTTGCTGTGTTCACTAGTTAAGGTACCGGTCGGGGGCCTGGCTGCAGTAAGATGATGACTGGGAAGAGACTGAGGACGGTGAAAAGTAGGGTTTAAGATTCCAGGAGGCAGTTGGAGGAGTGGGAAGTCAAGGAAAGCTGTTGTTCACGTTACTTGGAACTCGAGCGAGCCAGAAGCATGTACACCCTTACATACCTTGAGTCCTTAAGCTCAGACCTAGCTAGCTCTTAAAGGACGTTGAGTGAACTTAACCGGAGGCAAAGGAAATAAGGGTCAGAGTTAGGGCTTTGCAGCTTAAAGAGTAGTCAGATAAGGTGCCTGACCCCAAGGAGACTAGGGATGGGGATGAATAGAGAAGAATTGGGAACAGAAGAGGAAGAAATGTAAGAGTAGGACTGAAGAAATGGAGTTTTGGGAGTGATGGGTAGGGGAACTGATGGGACAGTTAACTGAGGGAGCCAGAAAGTTAGCCAGTTTGAAGTCTTGACAAAGCCATCTTTGCTTTTGAAGGAGCCCAGGTGCTGAAATGGATAAGTACTCAGCTACTCACTGAAAGGGAACAAATCCAATTCACTCATGGGCTCTGGAGAAAAGACCAGATGATCTACTTCAAGATTTTAAGTCTAGAAAATCCTTCAGGGCAATTCTACTTTATCATCTAGGGTTGAGGTTGGTCAGATCCCATTCGGTGACACACAACTAATTATACTCACCTTTTCCTTTTTTTCCCTCAAGACTATAGATCAGTTTGAATATGATGGCTGCGACAATTGTGATACATACTTGCAGATGAAGGGTAACCGAGAGATGGTATATGATTGCACCAGCTCATCCTTTGACGGAATCATCGCAATGATGAGTCCAGAGGACAGCTGGGTCTCTAAGTGGCAGCGAGTCAGTAATTTTAAGCCAGGAGTGTATGCA